ATTTCGAAGCGATTATTCGTGTCTGAAAGATATTAATCTACAAGCGTGGTTAATATGATAATAAAATTGTACAGTTATTCTTATGAACGAATTTAATACGTAACGACAATAGATTCATTTTCGCGCATGAGTATTGCATATCGTTGTATGCACACATGAATGTGGCTACTGTATTACACAGTACGTCGCTGTAATGTTAACTGCGATTTCGATTCGTCAGTTATTGTAGTTATTTGCAACACACGTGCTGCTGTTAGTGGTGTCGTTGGATAGAAGGACGGTATTGGTTGACTCGGTGTGAAGGACGAAACATGGGTCTAAATCAAAGAGTTTGAGGGATAATGAGATTCTCGAAAGTTTCTTCAGTGGGCTGTTAGAGCTTTCCCATATTTGTGGTGAGCATTGGAATCAGAATTATCTTGTGGTCCTCTACTAGATGACTTATACTTAAACGTGATTCAATACAGTAATTATATCTCATGAGATAGATCCATCTATCAGTTACGTTGGTTAATAAGTACATACATTGAACATATCAGGTAATAAATTACATACAATGGACACACGTGCTGACATGATAATGTATTTTCTTTTGGATTCCATATTTCTATTGTATCCATTTAGGAAATGATATGATTTCAGTATATTAGCTGCTGAAGTTTACTCGTATGTGCAACTTGCCATATTCGATTTTTATTCATGTTCGTTATAAATAAAGATTTAATTGACGTAACTTTGTTAAACATTATCGCCGGATAAAATAACACTCAGTTTCCTCCTCAGTCCAGAGAAGATCTTGCATCAATGTGTTCTTGAATACCATGATCTTACAGTTCAAGGTCAAACAACGAATCATCTGTCTTTCACTCGTTTTCTGGCAAGCTCATAGTAGATCAAGGCAGATCAAATACGTTTTGAATACCGGTAAAAAAGAAAATACGTTTATAGGGCAGGCTAAGAAAAAGTGACGTCAAAAATAAACAGTGCAAAAGGGTATATATATATATATATATATATATATATATATATATATATATATATATATATATATATATATATATATATATATATATATATATATATATATATGTGTATATATATGTATATATGTATGTATATATATATATATATATATATATATATATATATATATATATATATATATATATATATATATATATATATATATATGCACCTTCGCGAGTGGCTGAAGAGTCCGATCATAGAGTGACAGTATCTGTTGCACTTGCTGATGGTGAACATTGATGTTTGTTGATGCTGTTGTTGTTTCGCCTTCCTCCTGACTATCCTTGTAGCGAGGGTTGTGTTTATCGCTTCCTTGGCTGTCTGAACAATTCCATGTCTAACAACAATTTCCCAGGCGGACTGGTTGTCAGCACAGCTCTTCCAATCGTTGGCGTTGATATTGTCCGTCTTCACGTCCTTCTTGGAGTCAACTTTGTGACTCAGAAGTAGCCGTCAAGTCAGTCGTATGCCTTCTGCTAGCTCGCCTTATAGCAAGTTATTGGGAATGCGACCAGGGTCCATTCTCTTGACGTTGTCAAATCAGCGAAGGCACGTCTCGCTGAGAATGGAGAACATGCTGCTCATGCTGACGCTTGTCAGAATCTGTATGTTGAATATTTTTTCTGCCACTGGATGCGCAAAATGCGCGTAGTTGTCCATGCTTCGCTGCTGTATAGGAATGTGCTGAGCACGCAGGCCTGGTAGACGCGCAGTTTCGTCTTCTCAGTGAGGTTGACGTAGCTCCAGTCCCTCTGGTTCAGTCTGCCTTGGCAATCCTGCCGTTCACATCGGCATCAGTGGAGATCGAGCAGGAGATGGTGGACACAAGGTATATATAGTTCTCAACAATGACTAGGTTGTACCATTCGATGGCGATGGTGAGAGGGGAGTATTCATCTTGCGCCAAGACAAAAGAATGAGAATTTCAAACATATTAGCGTATATCTTCATATGAACATTGATCGCTCAGAATTTTATATTTGCTGAAATTATTGATTGTGTAGGAAGGAAGATATGTCTTGGTTTTCGTGACATATTTCTTGCACTGATTGATGCAGAAAACACTGTATGTGTGGGAATTCGCATTAACATCACAGAACGGACACATCCAATATGTGTTTCAGAGCGTAACAGCATCAAGCAAAAGGTCTTAATTATTGCTGGTTTTGTTTGTAAAATTTGTTTTACTTTGTTTACTTCTCTATTACAAAGTGAAAATATTTACCATGGCAAGCTGGCAGTTAAGTTCGTTTGCAGAAAATGCAACCAAATTTTGTGTGTCATTCAGTTTTGGTTTGAAATCAACATTCATCAATTCCTAATGTGCGCATGTTGTCAAAAATGATTATAGTTGTGTTGAAGGTTAAAATCGCTACTTAAATAATTTTATTACTGCATGGATATTTTTATCAAGTTTTATTTTTGCTACAAATATGCCACGTTTTGTTGTAGTGAGTAAACGATATGCCTTACTATATTGGTAAGATAGAATTTCGAATGCAGGTTATTCATGTTCAGTCACTATGAATGTTGCATGACTCCTGTGTGAAAATAATTTGATTTAGAATTGATACATGAAGTGAATATTGTTTGGATTTCGCGTTTAATCATTTTTATGGTGACCCTACTTGAAAACTTACATGTATGATAGTGGGTCTTTACTCATGATACATTTTAAGATATATTAATTTTAATGTGAGGGAAAAGAAAAGAAGAATACGAAGCTATTAGATCTGAATATGAAAATACTGATTTTATATAACATGCAGATATTTTCTTAAATGGGGAAACAATTTTTTCCAAAACAGTATAATTTGCATATATATATATATATATATATATATATATATATATATATATATATATATATATATATATATATATATATATATATATATATATATATATATATATCGATACCTCATTATATAATATATAATAAAGTATCATATAATCTGTACATAAAGTTACTGACAAAGATTAAATTTTGTTATTATTAAAGAAGGAATATTATTCAAATTAACATGTCCATAGCTTTTTAAATTTATAGAAATTAACTTCTTTAAACAAAGTCGAGATATCACATGAATATTGTGCATATGTACAAAGGGTTAACCTGAAAATAAATATCCTATGTGAATATAATAACATATATTTAAATTTTGACGTTATCCTGTTTTCTGATGTCTTGAGACATATAAAAATATGGCACTCGAACGTTATGTGTTAAACACAGACCGTTATGTCAATAGCCTGTACATCATGTATGACAACACTATAGAAGATCTAAGTAAAACATGTGCATTTATAATGTAAAGAGGATTTTGAGGTAACATTTTAATGGTGTAAAAACATATTCGAAGCTGAAGCTAGATAGTCGCCTTGTTTATTTAGTGTCCGACAATTTGTAAGGCTAAGCAATTATGCACTCTTTGCAAATATTTCAGTTTAAGAGGATTTCATGGAATACTACAACCAGATTATATTCCAGATGATTCTGGAAAGGGTCATATATTGCCACATGTTTAAATTACCCTGAAAATCTACATGACGCTCATAATTGCCATCCAATAGCACATGAATCTTTATCAGACCAAGAGGAATGCTAAAGGAAAAATCAAGTTAAATCTTAATTTGAAATATAAGATTCGTTTTCCTGATATTAGTAAGATTTATCGGGAAAATATAATTGGAGATTCAATTTAAACAGGTAATCATATTTTGCGACTGTCTACAATTAAATATTATTTTCAAAAATGTGCACATTTGAAGTAATATAGCTGAATTTATGCTTTTATTTCGCAGTGCTTGATTAAACAAGCGTAAATCTATCAAAATTTCCTTTGTTAAAATATATTTAAAAAGCCGGAAAATATATAAATAATACGTTTGAAAACAACAGGTAAATCAATAATTGTAAAACGTTTTATATCAGCTTTCTAAACTGTATAAAATCATACTCCATTTAAAACTGATAAAATACTGAATTCTTTAGACAATTCAAGTACTAGAACATCGACACTGAGCCTCAGAAAGCTTAGTTATAATTAATGATAAATTATCCAGAAAGTTGTTAATATTAAATTAAATTAAATATCAATTATGATTTGTTTCCTCTTTGCATTAAGGCATCTGTCGTTGTATCCAAATAATTAATTTATTCTCTATAATCATGTTAGATGGTTTCGAACGGACGTTGGAGGTTCAATATTTGTCTGAAAATATTATGCTTGGAAATATATAGTTTGATTCTAAAAGATGTTCTTCATGTAATCTACAGATCAAATTGTACCATACCATAAATCATTTTTGTTTTCCTTTTAATTATTGACATCATTACATTTAGTAAATAGGTCATATTTTGAATATTTGCAGACTGATAAAATGTTTGTTATTGTCAATATAAAATTTAATCAACTACATCTAACTCTACCCCTCAAGATCCATTCATAGTTTCAGCAACTAGAGAAAATTCACGCAATATTGGGTCGAACGGAAGATTTACAACCTGCATTGAAATAATAGAAATGTCATTGATTAAACAAGATGCAAACAGCTGGAAGTGAGATTCATTATCGTTCGCACTGTTTGCGATTTCACATATTTCAGAAGCATTCCTTTTCCTTCCTTTGACGGTACGTTACGGAATCATATATAAGATATAGTAAGTAAGTATCCTAAACCGAACAACTGTTTTCCTCATTACCAAGAAAAAGAAAACAAAGAAAAAATAAAAGAAAAATGCCATGCTAAGAGTAGAGGATCACAGGATTAGAACCGCAGAAATTTAGAGACAAAATGCTTTAGAGAATCATGTTGTCATAACAATAATTGGATTTAAAAGATCCTTTTTATAAAAAGGTATAAAGATTTCAAAACCTGGAAGGCATACTAATAAGAAATATAATGAAAGCAGATAAGATATATTTGTTACCAAGATGAAAGAATGTAAGCACTTACCCTTAGTGTGGTACTGCTCTGGTTGCCTAGTGGTTAGAGCGTCCGCCTCGGATGCGGGAGGTCGCGAGTTCTAATCCCAGCCGAGTCATACCAAAGACTTATTCAAATGATGATAATAGCTGCCTCTCTAGGAGCTCTGCATTTAGAGGTTAGTGTTAGGACTGGCCGGCCTTGTGTCAGAATAATGTGACTGGGTGGGACATGATGCCACAGTGCTAAACATTACATAAACTGTCACACTGCAGACATCGTAGTGATATCACTGAAATATTGCTAAAACTACCGTAACATTCCAAAACACACACACACACACACACACACACCCTAGTGTGTCAACCCATCATTTATGTGTTTATGCAAGCATAGTTGGCCTGACATAACAGAAACAAATATAAAAAGTTTAGGATACTATCCACGGATAAGAAGGTTTCTTATCTACGCACTTGCAAAATAAAATGTGTGTGCGTGTGTGTGTGTGTGTTTGTGTGTGTCTGTGAGGGGAGTCTGTTAAATGCTTGTGGTACAATCGCTTAGCAATTGTTTGATACTTCTGTATCTGAAATTAGTATATAGAATATAGACTATTACAAACATTTTGATATTTGGAATCGGTGCTAGGTGTCCAGGTTATTGCCTAAATCTTTGTTTTTTGTTATCGCTGCCCGGTAGATCTGTCTAAATTCAGAATTATCTTCTCATTTACTTCTAGTATCAACCGATTCCACTGGCGTAGAATATTGCGTCAGAGGCATATTAGTAAATTTTGGCAAATTTTATTTTTTCCAGATAGTATAAGTCTAGTCTTAAAGAAAATACGATCAAACAAGTTTTAATCATTTGAGCCTGGATTTTACATACCTCGCTGATTCGGAAGTCACACTCCTTCTTTACTATTAAACCATTTTCTCTGCTATAATGACTTTCATATTAACAAACATTTACTTAGAATTTAGATGTACATTATGTCTTGAAATTTCCATTAAAAGTAGCTGGTCCGACCTAGTAAGTGAGTGGTATGTGACTTTATTTATTACACAAAAACAACGGGAAGTAATCTTATATTTATTCCATTGCAGGCGCTCATAGATAATACTCGAGGCAAATCTTCTAGTTCATGCTAATAAACACGAAGTCGTATCTAGCGTTAAAGTCGTATCACACGAAGTCCTATCTAGCGTTAATAAGTAATTCAGTAAAGACGATATTTCTTATCTGCTTGTTAATTCCAACTTGATTTGAAAGTTACAATTCTGTAAATCATTCTGGATTAGTTTTTTTAAACGGACAATACGGAATAACAAAATAGGTCATTTAATATAGATAATATATCAGAAGAATAGATTCATTTGGTAAGCGTTTAGTAGCACTGTATCACGTATAGCTGATGCATAGCTTTTCATGGATATATTGTGGCTACACGAACATAAGGATAGGACACGATGCACGTATACGATAGACACGCACTCTGAAAGCACGTTACACTAAATATGTGAAACAGAAAATTAATTATTAGCGGGGCACAAAAATGAACTTCAAGACAAACAGAAGACTAAATTAAGATTCCATGAAAATGTGATTTAAATGTTCTAGCAGAAGATAATTGGATAGATTGCTTTTCGTATGTTTCCAGTATTACCTATTAAAATTTTGTTGAACCCGACCGAGTAGTAACAAAAGTCTCATAAAAATTGTTCAAATAGCTGCCACGCTAGCGCTCGTTATTAAGGGGTTATTTTTTATGACTAGTCGGCCTGATGTGAGGATAATGTGACTGGGTAGAGACTCATGCTACATGTCTGCGGCATGATGGCACATTGCTATACATCCCTATAAACTGTCACACTACAGACATTGTAGTATGACTGAATAGAAACTTTATCGTTAAAGCTAGGTTACAAATCCAAATCTCTCTCTTTCGCACACACACACATACACACACAAACACACACACACACACACACAAACCCACACAAAGACTCATACTCCATCTCCTCCTCTATCATTTAGATGACTGTCCAAAGGCATAAAAACATGTATTTTAAGATAGTCTTGTTATAAAATATAACCAATATAAATTCTGATATTTAAAATCGTACCATTTGAAATTCTGAGTATCTGTTCTACACATCGAGTACGTTATTAATATTATATCCCCTAAGTAGAACCAATTTTGATATCTAATTTTCTGAGAAAGCAAAATACCACCAGTAACATGTTTATTTAGTCATATTACCAGGTGCGATTGAAACATGTTATGTCATGTGCTTCACTTTATATAAAGCGTCACCTTACAATTCACATTATCCTTTGAATGTCACGTGCATAATTGTTAGCCTTAACAAAGGGCCAAATCAACGAGTTAAATGAAATAATTAGTTATTAACATAAACAATTATACTTACGTAGTGCAAAAGTGTTAGCCAATAGTGTTTGAAACGAAATCGATATGCAAATATAATACGGAAACGTAAGGAGTCTGAATATCTCTTCAATGCCACTCAGGTGTGTGAGGAATACACTCGTTTAGGTTTATTCACGGCATAATAAAACGACATATCTTGTCAAATATTATCAGTTACATTTCTAACAATCGGAATACAGAAAGTACTCTTCGCCTATTCTTATGCTTCACTCGTTCCCAACAAACTAAATACAATAAACATACAAGAAATATTAATTATTTTTAAAACAAAACAATACAATAAATTCCATAAAACTGGTTAAGTACTTCGAACTCGATTTGGCAGTACTTACTCTACATAATGGACACTGATTAATAGGTAGAGACTTCGTGCAAATTGAAATCAGCACAGATGCAAACTCTACCATTATTTGATTTAGAGAAATTAAGTCCTCACAACATGACATTTATCCTGTCTTAGGAAAGTGAGTTTGAAACTATTATATATCAAATAATTAAAATAAGAACCTTCAGAAATCGAGGAATTGATATATGATATTTACAGTGGGAAGGATATAAAAACATAACATGAAGAGGCAAATAACTCAACATTAACATTAGAAATTAAAGTCAACACAGACTGGTTTTCATGTGGAGAAAGCATTTATGCACAGACATATTATGGTAATGCAGAATACTGTATTTATTTTATGAATATTCATATTCTTCCTTACTCTACCCTATATAATTGTCTCCTTGTCTTATTACGAATCGTTTTGTACTATACACTCAGACTGTTTATTGAAGTCTATACTGATATTTATTGTAACAATATAATATTGTACTTTGTAGACATTTCATATATGATATTTTTCTTTTCGTTCTGTTTTGACTAAATGACTGAATTTCTTCTTCTTCTTCTTCTTCTTCTTCTTCTTCTTCTTCTTCTTCTTCTTCTTCTTCTCTCTCTCTCTCTCTCTCTCTCTCTCTCTCTCTCTCTCTCTATATATATATATATATATATATATATATATATATATATATATATATATATATATATATATATATATATATATATATATATGTAATATTCTTGGTATCATCATTCACTTTTCCATGGTACTACGATCTTTTCATCACTTCCCTCACCTAATTATTTTCTTTCTATCCTCCGATTTGCTTTTATATACATTTGTCTGTTTTTGTCTTCAAATCTGATGATGACAGTATATTCAAGAAAGCCGCGTTGGTGGGTCATATTTTTTCATTAAGGATCAACTGGACACCATAATAACTCTTTTGGTGAACATCCCATGTTCAAAAGTACTTTCTGCATATGAGGAGACACAATTTGTATTTAAGATCATCTTTGTTGACATAAGAAGTCTTCTGGTGAAAATATGCAAATACGATTTTCCGTTAATACGAATCTCAAGAATATTCAATGTCATTGGAAACCCACTAGACACCATGAGAATTCTTTTAGTGCAATTCGCCTGTTAATAGAACCATCCATTAAGGTTTTTCAAGACGGCCATTGAGTGGAATCCATTTTGGATGTAAGATCACCACCATTTCCATTAAGACTTACTGGACAATAATTATTTTGAAAACTCTAGGTAAATGATTTGCTGTTCAGTTGGAGTTCTGATTACAAGATGGCTGCCGTGATTGCCATATTATATAATAGAATGGCATCAGTTTTTTTAAGACCAACTAGACATCAAATCAATACGGGAAAATTAGAAATAGTAAGGTTTCCAAGGTGGAGGGCATGGTGACTATAGTAGATATCAAATTTACACAATGTTCATATAGGACCAACGAGACAAAATAAGTAATCATTTTTTGAAACCTCAATTTGAAATGAGTATCCATTCAGGACGCGTTCGATAGCTAGATTTTCATATTGGATGTCGGAACAGCGACATTTTCCTATAGAATCAACTAAACCAATTATGTGTGTGTATGTGTGTATGTGTGTATGTGTGTGTATTTGTGTGTGTGTGTGTAAAGTTGAATGTTAATCATCCAATTATGTTAGGAGCAATATCGACAACAGTATTGTGCTAGCGGATGGAGCGATGACAGACGACGAAATACAATCCAATACGATTATCTGGTCTGCAAGCAGCAAAGTCTTCATTCAAATATCCGCACATCTTAAACTTGCCACCGTGTTAGTTTTCCATTAAACACGTATTTGTTACTTAAACCAAGGAAAATTAAATATCCTGTGAACATTTCCAGTGGACGAGCGTGTCTTCTGGCTCAGGGAAATAACCATAATCATTGGATTTATAGATAATTATGTGGTCTGTTAAGACACGTATATATCAACTGTCGCCTGATTTTATACTATTCACTTTCGAAGCAGACAGACTTGTAATTCTATTTGCATCGATATCCCGAGGGACTGTTTTCGTGCATAAATAAACGGCAATCTCTTCGATAATGCGTATTCAGAAATTTCTTATACTTGAACACAAATTACAAATGAAATAAAATATATTTGGGTCTTATAATCAAGTTTCGGCAGCTAATTAGATGAGACAAAAAAGCAATGGTAATAACACCACGATTGAAGCAAAAGAATAGTTGTATATCGGTTAAGAAACCGTCAAATGATTCGAGATTACGACTACGATTACATTTTCAACAATTGCATAAGAATTATGATAATTTATA